TAACAGAGCTCAAAATACAGCAAAATGTTTCAGCTGCCTTCAAGGAGGTCTCGGAGGAAATTTTGGGGATCAAAGAGCTAATCCAGATTCGCAACCAAGAGATAAGAGAAGATATTGTGGAAGCCCTGAAAGGCGTGTCTGGCTATGTATCTTTATTGGATGAAAAAGTGGAAGAAATTAACCAGTCTAATGTCAATTTAGTAAGTAAAGTTGAAGAAGTTCAAAACAAGGTTGATAATACAGAAGCAGAAATTACAGTGCTACAATATCTCTTGGTAGTTGTTTCTGTCTGGCAATCCATGAATTAATGCGGTATATTTTGTCTATTTGCCAGTCATAGTCCACTCTCGGTTGGCCTATTAATTAATCAAAGGCTTCTGAAAGAATCTCCTTCAGATTTTCTTGATTATTCTCTTTAAGGCCTCTTATTCTCAAAGCAAGTTCCATCTGTCTATATTGTAGCATTGTAATTTCTGCTTCTGTATTATCAACCTTGTTTTGAACTTCTTCAACTTTACTTACTAAATTAACATTAGACTGGTTAATTTCTTCCACTTTATCATCCAATAAAGATACATAGCCAGACAAGCCTTTAAAGGCTTCCACAATATCTTCTTTTATCTCTTGGTTGTGAATCTGGATTAGCTCTTTGATCCCCAAAATTTCCTCCGAGACCTCCTTGAAGGCAGCTGAAACATTTTCCTGTATCTTGAGTTCTAAAGCAACTGCCTGCTCTGTTAAAGCATCTTTTAAGACTCTTTGCACTATGTCCAGGGTTAACACTTCTGCAGCAGGAGCAGAAGGGGGAGGTAATAATGACTGTAATTTATTTGTTGGGGTTGGAGAGCTATCAGCACTCTTTGAAGTCATTGTTGTTTTAAATTGTTTTGAGGCCATTTCTAAACTTCAATTAAGCTTTTCTTCCATCAAATTATTAAGTCCAAACAAACCGTTTATTCCAATTATTACTCTTGTAACTTGTTAATAAATCAATGCTGTTTTAAGTGATCTTAAACTCTGTAGTAGTTTGTTAAATTACGGTTCAGCCCCACCTTCAAAACTCCGGTGCCATTTTATCTTCTGTCTCGTTAGATTTTACAGAAGGAGTTTTTGTAAAATGAAGCTAAAGTTTAAATATACCTACAGTTGTAGATTCTCCTATATTTGCTCTGCCTGCTTTTTGCTCAGATGTAAATCAACCATTGTGCAGGGGTGGTCGTGAGCCTTTGTTTCTGCGAAAAGCAGAATGAGTCCCGGGTGTGGAGTGTGCTGAGCTGCAGGGGGGCTCACACCTTCCACACTCTAGAATTATCTCCTGGTGGGGTTAATGGAGCTCTACCCATGCTCAGCAGCTCTCCCCCTTCTTCTTTTCCTGAGGAGAGGGTTATCAAACTGTCAGACGGCTGATATACGCTGTGCAAACAGTGTAACACGATCACGGGACTGGAGCTCCTCAGAAGAGCCGCTCTTCAGGCTACATGGAGCCACCAGAAGTCTAGACTTCTAAATTTTTATGATCAGTCCAGATTTCAAAAGGGATCTTATTCCCCTCTAGGAAATGCCTCCAGGTTAAAAACACCCACCAAACTGCATAAGCTTCTTTCTCCCAAATGGCCCACCTCTGCTCAACCTCATTCAACTTTTTGGATGTTTACGTGCATGGTTGTAATTGGCCTTGCTCATTTTTCGGAAGCAGGATCGCCTCTATTGCCACATCACTGGCAACTGTTTGTATGACGAATGGTTTCTCTGTGTCCAGGTGCTTTAGAATTGGCTCTGCTGAAAAAAGCTGTTTAAGTTTTTCAAATGCAGCTTGGCATTCCATTGTCCAGTTCAAATGCTGCTTTGGTTTTGGGTTACCCCCCCCCCCCACTTCGTTTTTAAAAGCTTGGTGATGGAGAGGGATCTGGCAGAAGCGGGGATAAACTGCAGGTAAAAGTTGGCAAATCCCAGGAAGCTTTGTAACTGTTTACGTGCTCTGGGTTCCCAATCAAGTACCGCATGAACTTTTAAAGGGTCTATTTTTATGCCCTGGTGTGAAATGCGGTACTCTAAATAATCAGTATTTTCTTGGTGGAATTCACATTTAGAGAGCTTAGCATAAAGTTTGGTGGAGCAGAGTTTCTTTAGAACAGCCTGGACTAGTTTTATATGTTCTGCTTTGGTCTCGGTATATAACAAAAGGTTATCTAAATAAACCAAAACCCTCTTATACAAATGATCACGTAGCACTTATTTTATTAAATGCATAAACACAGCGGGGGCCCTTGTAGTCCAAATGGGAGCACTTTGAATTGGTAGCACCCAAGGGGGGTGTTAAATGCCATTTTCCACTCGTTCCCCTCTTTAATTCTGATGTGATAGTAAGCTTCCCTTAAATCCAGCTTTGAATTTTTTTTCCCTTTAGCGAGGTGTGCTAGCATGTCTTTCATAAGGGGAAAGGGAACCTGTTTTCCACACTAATAGTATTTAACTTTCTAAAATCCACACAGAAACATTTTGAGCCATCTTTTTTTCTCTATATAACACTGGGGCTGCAATTTTTGGTTGGGCTGGCTCGATGAAACCCCTTGCTAGGTTTTTTGCAATGAATGCTCTCAGTTCTTCCAGCTCCCTTGGGGACATGCTATACATCTTAGGTCTCCTTCCTGTGCTGGCCAGGTTTCGTAGGTCCCCCACGACGGATGCTTTGGTTTCCCAGCGGGTGTTTGAGAACAACATTCTGCACCTTAGTGCCCCTCCTTTCCACACTCGAAAAAGGCTGAGGGTTTTGGAGAAGATGCCATTTGCGGATTGAAAGGTTCTTGCTTCCATTGGGGTGGGGATTTCTTCAATGCTTAGGGATCTGACAGGATCACTAGGACAGTTTTAAATTAAAGTCCACAGTTCCGTTTAAGCATCTGTATAATCTTTTTACTGATATCCAGTCCTCTTGTATTAGCTCACTGACTTTTTTTTAATAATACAACTGAATTGAATAAGAGGTCTATTCACAGTTGAAGTGAATAGTAGAATAGTAATGCTACAGCAATCTTATATAGCATATTATTACCAACTACTAGCGGTATTTTGAAGGATTAATTTTATTATTGAACAATTATAGTGCTCTCAGCCAATCCAAAATGTTAATAAACCTCACACCTAAATATTTAAGAAAGTAAAAGTGAGGTTAGGCTTTCTTAGGAGAATATCTATATGTGCACAATAATTGGGCAACTATTAGTGTGCAGAATTATTATGCAACTAATTAAAAATTTCCCATCTCACTCATTTATTTTCATCTGTTAAAGTGGGAATAATAAGCAAACAACTAAAAATTTACAAATAAATATTTCTGACATTTCAAAAAAATAAAATAAAATCAGCGACCAATATATCCACATTTCTTTTCAATAACAGTCCTAAGCCTTCCATTCATGGAGTCCATCAGTTTCTTGATCTGTTGATGATCAACTTTTTGTGCAGCAGCAACCACAGCCTCCCAGACACAGTTCAGAGAGGTGTACTGTTTTCCTTCACCATGAATCTTCTGTTTAAGAAGGCCCCACAAGTTCTCAGTAGGGTTTAGATCAGGTAAGGAAGGGACCATGTTATTATTTTTTCATGTTTAATGCCTTTACTGGCTAGCCACGCTCTGGAGTACTTTGATGCATGTTATGGAGCATTGTCCAGCATAAAAATCATGGTCTTCTTGAAAGATGCAAACTTTTTCCTGTACCACTGCTTGAAGAAAGTGTCTTCTAAAAAGTGGCAGTAGGTTTGGGAGTTGATTTTGAGTCCATCTTCAACCCCAAAAGATTCAACTAGCTCATTTTTCTTAATATTAGCCCATACCACTACCGAGGGGTGGGATTCAGCCAATTCAGACCTGTTCGGGAGAACCAATAGCTCTGACAATCAGCTGAGAGCGAACCGGTGCGCTCCAATGATCAGGTGGGCTCGCCCACCCCTGCGCTTGACTTACCTATATCCTCTCAGCTGATTCGTGTGGCAGAGTGGATTGCCGCACCTCAGCTGTGTTATTCCTCAGAAGTAAGGTGGAAGGTAAGATTTGTTAAAACTGCATACACGCACAGAGTGTGCTTCAGGTGCGTGCATGAAGCACACGATCACCAAACCGGTTGTTAAACTGGCAGGATCCCACCACTGCCAGTACCCCACCTCCACCTTGCTAGCATCTGAGTCAAAGTGGAGCTCAGTGCTCTTTACTGATCCAGCCATCGGCCCATCCATCTGGTCCATCTCATCTGTCCATAAAACCTTTGAAAAATCTGTCTTCAGATATTTCTTGGCCCAGCCTTATAGTTTCAACTTATGTGTCTTGTTCAGTGGTGGTCAGATTTCAGCTTTCCTTACCTTGGCCATGTTTCTGAGCATTGAACACCTTGTACTTCTGGGCACTCCAGGTAGGTTGCATTCAGAAATATGACAGTACTGGAGGATAATGGGTTCCTGGTAACTTTATGTTTGATTCTTTTCAAATCTTTGGCAGTTTAAAGTGCTTCCTTTTTTCTCAACACATTTCTTGCAACCGTATTGACTATTTGTAACAAAACATTTGATGATTCTCTGATAACAGCCCAATAACTTAGCAATTTCAAGAGTGCTGTATCCCCTTGAAAGACTTTTTACAATTTTTGACTTTTCAGAATCAATTAAATCTCTTTTTAGCCCATTTTGCCTGAGGAAAAGAAGCTGTCTAATAATTATGCACAACCTGCGACTCTAGACCCACATGCGGTTCTTTGGGCCTCTCCTACGGCTCCCTGTTGGATGATCCCACCACTAGATGCCTCCCCCCGATGTTCTTAAATTAATTCCGGAGGTTGACACTTGGCACATGGAACAAAAATGGAAAATCCTGAGACTATAAAATAAAAAGCCCAAGAATAATTCATGTAATTGGGAAGTGGGGGGGGGGGATCCAAAGGACTCAAAAAACAAACAATGAATTTCAGGAGAAAATAGCATTTTTAGTTGTATTTTAAACTCCCTGGATATTTTAATCTATTAGCTATATCTTATATAGAACAGAAATTCAGAGTGCCATCTACTGGAGAAAAAAAGTGCTACAAAGTTTAGCAGAATTAGTAAGCAGAATATATACTAAGACTAAAACAGATAAATTAAGAGCTGGAAGATTTGACCTTAGCTACAAAGAAGAAGATAATTTGGACATAGTGAGAAAATTTAAGGAGTGCTTGTGTTTCTCTCTCTCTCTCTCTCTTTTGCTCTCTTTGAAGAAAACTAATTGTTAACTGGATTTGTCTAATTTTGGAATTGGATTATTATTAGACTATATTAATATAGCAGAGCACCTACCTTTGAAGAGAATAGAATAATTAAAGAAAAGAAGAAAAACAAGGAAATTAAATAGACTTTAAATTTGGACTAATTGTAAAGAGAGATAATTGGGGAGGCTTTAAAAGATTTTCAGATTGTTCTAAAATGGAGTTTCAGATATTTGGAAAAATACTTTGGATGTTAAAAGAATTACATGAATCTTTGATCGGTTAAAAAAAAAGCAGAAAATTTGTTTAAACATACAGAAAAGAAAACAGAGGAAGAATTTGAAAGGGGGAATGTAAATGAAATACAAGAAGCTAAAAAACTAGAAGAGGAAGAAGTAAAAAATAAAAATCAACTAGACAATGCCACAGAAACCTAAACAAAAGTAGAAAGAATAGAGAGAAAAAAGGGGAAACTCTCCTCAAAAAAGAAAAGGAGGCAGCTAAAAGACAAAAAGGGAAATATTTTGCAGAGTCAAATGAAAGTTTTGGCACGG